GAAATTTGAGAGGATTGACGGATACAATTAAATTAATTTACTAAAAAATGAAACCTTTAAACCATAAAATTAAGCTTTCCTTTGTATCTGCAAATATAGTTCAAAATCGGAATTTCAAGAAAGAAAAAATAAAGAAAAAGGAAAAGAAAAAAACCCAAAAAAGGAGCATGCATAGTGAATTTAGAATAAGCGCCATAAAAGGCAATGAGGGAAATAAGAACAAGAAGAGATATACCTTCTTGGAGGGGATTCGATACTTCTGGCGTTTGGTCCCGTTCTACCTCTACAACCTGATCCTCCCTAGTTATGACATGAACCAAAACAGGACCACTTGAGTCCAAGGATGACACTTCTTTTAAGACACATATAAGGTCCTCAATGTTGTGTCCATCTACTGGGCCAATGTAGTACAGCCCAAGCTCTTCAAAGAGAGTTGATCCTGGAGGACCCAACAAACCACGGGCATACTCATCAACCTTGGCTGCCCACTCATGCATACCCCTGCCAATTCGCTTAGTTAAAACCTGAAACAAGCATTAACTACTTAGACAGTGAAAGAATAGTATCTAAACAAGATGCAAACTGATACAGGTCAGCATGCTCACATTCAGTTATTCAAGTATAAAGAAAATATCCATAACTTGTTTTTAATTTTGTCGGCTGACATCTTGGAACACATAATACCTAAGTCACAGTAAATTGAGAATAAAAAACACTAACAGGTAGACATCTCCAAAAAGCAGTTAGAAAGGTGTATATTCTGTGCTTATCTGTGATTTAATGATACTTGGAATTCTCAGGACTGGGAACACACCTGTTAAATCCTATCTTGTTGTGTGAAGAGAATACGACTAAAGCAAAAACTGATAATTAAGGACAATCTCAGCCATATGGCTTATATGGATCTCATAACTGGGTCTTCCCAGGAGTAAATGATTCCTAAGCAGATTCACTTACAACGTATAAGGTAGAGGATTTTTCCAGTAAAAATAACCATGCAAGGATTAGGCTTACTGTGCTGCTAAAGTACACTGGTTTTGCATTTTGTTGAATGATGAATTTTTGTATCATGTATTTGTAACTGTCAAAATGAGTCACTCTTCAAATTGACAAGTTGCCAAGAATATGATACTGGTGGAGAATGTAAGTAGAAAATTTGCCAAGAGTAGAACGCAGCTTCAACCAAGAGGTTGAAGTGGTACACAGACAAATTACCTTTGCAAGTTCTCTAAACCTCCTGAAGAATATACTTGACTGAATCTTGCTTAGAGTAGTTGATAAAGGATTAATTGGTGTTTCAGGGGCCTCCTCAAGCTTTGGATGCAAGGAGTTACGGCTATCATTTAAGATCACAATCATATTGGAATCCAAATAACCTGCATTACCCATTGCCTCGTAAACCTGGCCAGCCATAGTGGTTTCATTGCTTATGACTGCAACCACACGTTCACGCTGCCCTTTGATGTCCCGAGCTACTGCCATTCCTGCATCAAAACATAGCATAGCTTACTACTAAATCCTACAGACTAATAGCAAATTGTCATAAAGCTATTATGGCCACTTCTGAAACAATTCTATTCCACAAGCAGTTCAGTTAGGTATCAGCAAGCAAAACTTGAAATACAGCCCCAAACTATAGATAGCAAAGGTCGTTCTTTGCTAAATACATTGGAAAAGATGAAGAAAAGCACTACCAAGGCCAGCAGATATACTGTTGCATCCATGTCCTGCCCCAATTGGGTCATATATGCTCACAGAACGACGTGTGGAGTCTGATAGCTCAGTTGTTTGTCTATGCATTTTGACAAGGGACCTCCTACCAGTAATAAGCTTATGAGGATATGTCTGTTTCAAATTAAAAAAGCAAAAATTGATCACTCAACAAGAGATTTTCTTAAAACTTTAGCAGAGAAAGATATATAGGCTTCACAAGTTTCTTTCTGCCTCTCCTACCATAGTGCCATAGAGATTCATATGGACATAAAGATGAAAACTATCACTCTTCTTTTTTCTCATAGCTAACAAACTTGGACCCACAATTCAACAACCGTTGAAAACCATTGTGACCCTAAAAAGCATCAAATAAGGGAAATGCTAAAACAAAGAGAACCGTTGAACTTTTTGTCCAATGATCTGCAGTTTCAGAATGAAGCTCACATGTTCCTCCACATCCCACAATATTTTGTCCACCGGTGAGCGGAAAACATAGTGAATAGCCACTGTCAGCTCCACAACTGCCAGACTGGCTTTAAAGGCCTTTTTACTTTTTGACATAACAGTAGATAATTCTGATCGCATTTCAACAGCTAATTGTTTCAGTTCCTGCATAGAATATTGCTACTAAGCCAAGTTTTCAGAATATCAAGATATTGCCAAGATAAGACAATTGGAAGCAAGGGTACCTAATACAATCCTGCTCTTTTATCCAGCTTTTGACTGTTTCTCGTGAAAAGAAATTCACATACAGATCAATGCCCGAGTATCGACTATAACCAACTTTTTATGCTTTATGTACCATAAAAAGACTATAGTTGATATTCTTCACAAAAGGTCCAACTAATATAACTGAGTCTTTTTACTTTCAGCAAGAATAAATGGATGCAATAGCAAGTTCCTAGGCTTTCAGATTTTTCTACATGTTTTGTTCCTCAATTCGCTATACAACGAAAATCATATAGTTGCTCAAAGCTTTCAACCTATGAGACTTCAACATACCACCAGAAAGCGTGTAACCCGAGTTTATTCAACATATTTCCTTATTTGATGAGCACTAGTAACTTCCTAAATATTCAAGAGCTTTTCTTTGTTGCTACAATTGATTAATACATGACTTTCGTCTAATTTTCCACTATAGTTTCTAAAAGGAATAGGCAGATTCTAATTCTTGGGATTTCATTGCTGCAAGATTTTGGTTCGCATTGTTTCATATATCCCCTCAATGCAGGCTCTCCCGTGCAGAACACATCCAAGCAAAAAGGGGGTAGTGCAGCTGTGCAGGTAGGAAACAAATAAATAACCAACAAAAAAATATTACACTGAACAAATATATCTTCAATATGCTTCTTCCGCAGATAGCACTCCATGGAGCTTGAAGCACAAATAATTTTGATACATTTCAGCATAAAATATTGAAATAAGGCATAAATTGTTTTTCTGTAATATATAACGCACATGCAGCATGTGGCCGTTTTGGTGTTGATAAATTGTCTACTATCCTTGGTGTATAAGATTTTTCGTATTCGCCAGTTTTTACGAACCATGTTAAACTGATTTATACATATAACCACCACAAACAAACTAGAACAACTTCCAATATTTTTTTGGCAAATCAAACTTCTAATACCTTCTACCTTTGATGCCCCCAAAAAAAAAAAAAAAAAAAAATCCTACCCTTTTATTCAGAAAAAAAGAAAAACTTTGTTTCTAATCTACACACCCTACCTCTCCCACTAGTTTAAAACAAAGTAACAGTAGTATTAAGCATTCAGCTAGAAATTCAACAATCCACAGAATTATGGTGCATTCATTTTGTTTCTTACCACACAAAAGGACTGCACTACAAAAAGGTAAAGTGCAACTTAAATGATGAACTAAATATGAGAGAAGTAGCTAGGAGGATTATTTTTTTAAAAGAACAAAGTGAAGTGGGAAACTGTAAGTTGTACCTTGGAAGTAGAGCAGACTGCTGAACTTGGAGACAAATATAATCCACAGTACTCCACACGAGAGGGAAATTTTACACTTGAGAAATCCAATTTTGGTGACAAATTTCTTGAAATTTCACTGACACGAGCACTGATACCAAAATGGTGGTCAAAACTAGCAGTGCCCATGATGGAAACCAGAGAGTTTCTTCAGCAAAAATGATCAAGTGCAAGAAAATGAAACCATTAAAATATCCAGGCTGCCAAAAAAAAAAAAGTCCCTGAAAAATTCTTCAGTTGAGAGTTCAACAGCTAAAAATTACACGCAGAAGAGAGCCTCCTGGACGCATTTCTCGACTCTCAATCAGAAACAAAGGGATAAGACGACCAGCGTATTTCTTGAAAATTTGTCGGTAGCGAAGAAGAATATGGGCCGACACTAAACAAATATTGATAGCTGAACTGCACCGTGAATTGAATGCCCCATAATAAGGAGCCCAACCGTACAGAGATTGTGGGAATGGGCACTTCTTAGCTGACAAGAGTTCCTTTTCCAAAAGCCCAAATGGGAGAAGTTGGCTAATTTCTCATTAGTTGAGGTAATTATTTACTTCGACTACTAAAATTAATTGTTTGAATCTTGTGTTGATTGATATACACCTATTAAGGAAATTTGATTTTTTTCAAGTATAAGTAGGAGGGTTCGAACTCGAGACCTCTCGCTTACACTCTCTCCCCCCGTACTATCCAACCCATTCCTTCCCAGGTAATTTGATTATTTAATCCAACATGATTTGCAATATATGCAGTATATTAAACTCAAATTGATTTAATCATTTGATTATTTCTTTAAAATGATACTTCTTAAGGCTTTAAGACCTTTTGCTAATGTTACCAAATTAAATTTCATTTTTTTTTTGTAAGAAAGATGGATGCAATTATTAAAGATAAGGAAAAAAACACACACACTGACACACACACACACAATGCATAGTGGCAAAAACCAAATACAATGAGGAAAGTGAAAAATCTTTTGTTTCTCATTGCCAAAAAAAAAGTTGTAAAATAATTAATTTTGCATTTCCCTTTTCCACCTCAATACGGTGGAAATGTTCTACTTTTCTGTTGCATGACAAATGCCTTACGCCAAGAGAAACAAGGTGACAATACATATCTTCAAAGCAAGTAATAACTTTAAAGTGGTTACTTCCAAAACTCAATGCCGTGTTCATCTACCCCATCACAATTCTTGTCGGTTACTTTAGCTTGAAATCTATGCAATTAATCTATAACAAAAACATATCAAGGCCTTAATTAGTTACCATTTTTGTGATTTTACACACATATATATATATATATATAGAGAGAGGGGTTGGTGAAGGCATATAATCTTATATCATATGTAACTCAAGTCATCAGTGGGTAGCATCAAGATTTGAGAGACAATTACAAAGTAATTTTTCCCTTTTTTTTTTTTTCTTTGCCATCTTTTCTTTCCTTATTGCTAAGAAAGAGTTGGATGAAGAAAGTAATTTCAAACCATTTGCAGGTCTAAATCCTCTCTAAGTTCCAAGAATACAAAGGTTTCTCTAGGTATGCCTTCTCCTCTCTTTTTTTATGATATTCTTGTACACATGCTATGATGGATACATATCTAATTAGGCCAATAATGGACTCTATTCTTGATTCTCCTCTAATTTTAAGGCTCCCATCTTCAAGAATTTGGAAGATGAATGCCATGGGTTTTATCATACTTTTTCATAGGGAAAATCTACCAAGCCATTAGAATGCCATAAAATTGATTGAATATAAACCATATCATAGATTTTTTAAAAAATTTAATATTCAACTAATAGATTCCTAGAAAGATAGAATTATTGCATAGAAATGCCATTGTGGGACAATAGTAGGGTTTTTTTAATCTTCTTCTTCTTCTTCTTAATTGCCATTAATTATTTATTCCATATTTAACCTTTCCTACATTTTGGTTTTGGGAGATTTGGATAAGAGTTAGATACATAATATATCAATTGAAAGCTTTGCCTTTAATCTTATTAAGCCACAAATCTTCTAATCGGGGAATGAAGTCGCCCAATTTTTAAGCAAAAAAAAAAAAAGGATATTTTACATGACATATAAGAAATGGGTTAGTTTTTCCTGGCACACACACACACACATATATATATTTATATGAAAGATTAACGGATTTAAGAAATTACATAAGTCTCTCCTTTCCGCAAGGGGAGCCAAGTGAAAAATATGAAACGTGATGGTAGCTTACTGCAATTGTTATAAATTCCATAGGAGGTTTTGCAATTTATGATATTGTGCTCAATACTTATCCGTTTCGTCTCTTCCTTCCACATTTACCCCGAACAAAATGGAACCATAGTTATTTTCTTTTCTTCTCCTTCCTTTTCGGCTTGATAGTGTCTAATCCTCCCGTAATATTTTCCTTCAATTTCAACCACAAGTATACTTTTTGGCATTTCCAAGCAACGTTAAAACGTGGTAATAATGTTAATTGTTCCATTTGAAAGTTGAAATAACATAAGATTGAGCCATTTGCAAGCAATTAGGTAACCTCCAAAATAAAAATTTCTCGAGGTACGCGCCTATTCTCTCATGTCTTTTATTTTTTATTTTCAGTATAAGATAGGCTCTAAACGTTCCGTTATGTTTTGATCAAATGAGATATATTCATGGGTGTGTTTTTATCATTTTCGAGTCCAAAATGCTTGTTCTTTGAACTACGTTCGATATTATTATTATTATTATGTAATGCTTGTTTTTCTTTTCTTTACTTTTTTTTTGTTAGTTTTTGCAATTGTGACTCTTTGAGATTGCCCTTGTTGTGTTTTTATTTTTATTTTTATTTTTGTCAAAATACTGTTTTTGTTAGTTTTTTTGAATTTATTCACCAGAAAATGCTTTCGATTTGCATTTTTTTTCATTAACTCTATGTGAAACCAATTGCATAAATGCTCAATCGTAGTCAATAGCATTGAATTTTCTGGTGAATAGCCCTTCTTTGGTTATCAAAGCCTAGAGTCGGTGCAATAAGTTTGAAATATGGTCATCTACCCAAAATATTTTTTGCTTAAAATATATACTACTTTCTTTTAAATGTGGTTTAAATTTTAAATTTAGCCACATAAAGAAAGGTTGAAATGACAGAAACTAGAAAATAAACAAAAACATATATAAACTTTCAACAACCAGAGTAGATCTTCGTTCATATATAATATTAATCAACTGCTATTATAATAACCGTATCATAGGCCCAATAGATATAAGAAACAATACTGGATTTACGGGGTGCATCAAACGACTCAGATCCATATGTTCAATTTGGAGGCCCATAAACCAAAGTTCGGTCCAACCCAAAGTAAATGGCAAAATCCTTGGCCTGATCTTGGTCCTTTTTAAAATTTTTTTTTTCTTATCCCATTTGAAAAGTCAAGGTATATATATATATATATATTTATATTTATGGAGAATGTCCATCACGTAGCCTACTAATTCAATGGTAAAATGAGGCGTAGTCCTCCATGCACCTAATAAAGCAAATGAAAGCAGCAACTATCTCCTTCTTTGGTTTGATTTTTGGTGGAAAATTTCAAGTTCTTTTTCTCTTATTCTAGAAACACATCAAATTGGACATGTTTTTCCAACCAAAATGTAGCAAAATATAAAGTCAGCAAGTTAAAAATATGCATGACTGAGTAGTCATATTTTAGTTAATTATCAAAAGCAATTAGCTTGTTGATGGACATTGAAACTCAACCCTAAAGAACTGTTGGCAGAAGATCTCAACCCAAGTTTTCATGATGTTGGAACAAATAAATTAAGTTGCACAACATATATACATTGTAAAACATGAAATTTTTTTTGGTAAATCTGATTTTGTAGAGGAGGTTTTTTAAGCAATTGTGCTACTTACATTATTATTTGTACCTTGCAGAAAAGTATTTACAATTTAGGGTTTTTCTAATGAATTATATATGCATACTAATAATTATTACAGTCCCTTACATTTATATACTTTTCCTATTTAATATTACTTATCATTTCTTGTATTCATTTATATTGTTAATTAATTTTATATTTATAAAAATATGACATTTAAAATATATTTTAACGAGTGCCGACTGCCTAATTGGTATCCGATTGATTGATAGACCCTTGCATTTAAATCTAGTATGTACACAAGACCAGGCATACATAAATAGCTAAAGAAACAGTTGGGGAGCCAATTCCAACTGTCATTTCCAGAAGTTAATTTGAGTCCTCAGGCTGTAATTGTGGCATGAAGAGGGGCACCGTTTTCAGTAGGATAGAAAAACAGGAAAGTGGGCACCATTTTCCATGATCTAGTTTAATGCCACTGCCCCAAAGCATACGACTTTCCAAGGCTCGAGGTTTCAATGTTTTATTGCCTAGTTGCTTCTTGGTTTGGTGAGATGGGAATCGAACATTCTATTAATTATAGATTCTAGAATAGATTAGACTTGAACAAAACAGCGGCATTCATATCGAAAATGATATAAAAACAACTGTAACTTGTGGGCTTTCTTGCACTCCCATTTAGAGTTGTAAATGAGTCGAATCGCTCGGGAACAATTAAAGTCCGAACTTGACTTAAATTCGATCAACATCGAGTTTGAATTGATCAAATCGAACTCAAATTTAAACTCGAATTCAAAGATATTTAATTTGTTAGTTCGCGAGTTAACTCGAACTAATCGAGTCGAGTTTCAATTTAGTTTTATGAAACTCGAACTCGAGCTAATCGAGTCGAGTTTCAAAGTTCGAGTTTCATAAAATAAAGTTGAAACTCGATTCGATTAGTTCAAAATTCAACTCAACTCCACTCGTTTGCATCTCTATTCCCATTAGCCTGTTTTCTTTTTCCGTACAGCTATTGATCGGCAGTAGTGGTTTGTAGTTGTACTTATGTATGTATGAATAGAGTAATGTGCATGAGATTCTCTTTGAATTTGGCGGCTTGCATTTGCACGTTGGTTCATCGCCGAGTTCTTTGGTTTGCCGTTTATCACTCCGAAAATGTATATATGGATACTTTAGCATGTGCTATTGTGCTTGGATGCAGTTTACAATTAGGCTTTACTACGATTGAATTATTTAGACAGGAGTATTTAGATTTTTAACTCAGAATTAGACATGAGATTCTGGGTACTGGGTAGTTCATTTTAGGTGATAAAAGGATTTTTTTTTTATGGGCACATCTTATTATACTAACTTAAATTCATAATAATTGCACTTCTTGCAGTATGCCTTTTTTTTTTTTTTTTTTTCCTAAAATTAACCTTATGTACTTTTGTAAAAAAATTAATACCTAAAGTCTCATTTAACGAGTGACCATTGGGCAACGGGCGTTAGCCAAACCCATGGTTTAAAAAAAATGGAGATAAGGTTTTGTGAAATTGAGAAAAGTGTCTAAGGAGATAATAAATGTTAGGGTAGTACAATTAAATAGTGAATTCTATGTTACTATCCATGTACAATAAAGTGTATTTTTTTTTTTGTTTATTTTACTTCCATTCATGTAATCTACTCTAATTAGAGCAATGTTTTATTTAAGTATCATAAAGAGACTAGTGCCTTTTAGGTATTGGTTAAAAAAAAAAATCCAAAAGTAATCAACTATGAGAGGAGTAGTATATACTTATTTAGGGAAGTATACAATTTTTTTATACTAAGAAAAGAAAAGGAGTAGATGGCTATATAAAACTTCTACCTTGAGGTATTTTATGCACATACGTACAAAATACATGTATTTCTTTCCTCATAATTTTAGCTCATATTTTCCTCCTCAATTTTTTACTACATCTTAGGATGGAGTTCAAATTCTTTTCCTCCAAATTCTACCTATAAAAAATTCATTGTCTCCTGAATTGTAATTATAGAAAACAAAAAGCAAACGATTTGATCTTTGGAATTTGTTGTTTTTTATGCCCTATCCTTATTTTTTTCTTTTTTCTTTTCTTTGAAAAAAAGGACCTTCAATTAAAAGCTTATAAAATGTAAATTTCCAGCCAGCCAGCCAGCCAGCTAGCTGAAACCGTGTCAAATTAAAAGTCGGCGGCCTTTTCATTGACCAAGCCTTATACTTCGATGAAGTCGAGATGGCTGGCTTCGGCCCACCTGTTTTTGTCCAGGACTCATATAAAAAAAAAATTTTTTAAATTTTTTGTTCAATTTTTTCGCCTTTTCCTTTTGTCTTAGAAAAAGGGTTTACATTGACTCGATTCCTTTGAAACTTTTTTTTTATTATCAGATTTTATCGGTCAAAATCTATATATAAATTAAATAATGATGATGATGGATCAGAAAATACATAATCTAAGCATGCTTAGAATTAAGTAAAATGTTCAATTTATGGCATATATAAAATGCTGATATTGTGGAATATAAATATATTGTAATCTAAGTTAGTCAAGATGACCTAACAAAAAAAAAAAAAAACTTAGGTAATATAATTATTATATTCCTTTAAGTGTCTCCGGTCTCCCTCCACTTAGACAGCCTATCTTGAGCAGTTGTTTTGGCCGATCAAAGAAGATAAAAAAAAGAATAATAATAAGAGGAATTGATCCTAATTGGTGGAATTTGCATTGATCTCTTTAGAGTTTCTTGTGCTTTTGGGAATTGATTTAAAGTATTGAAATTACATTTGCCTTTCTCTATCAAGCTTTTGTCAGTCATTTTGAATAGAACTTAAAATAATGAAATATGGTGAAAACAATATAATATGTCCTCCTCCTTTTACCAATTTTATATTTTGTAATGCTGGCTATATCTGTTCTTAAGTTTTTGTTAAGCTAATTTCAAATGAATTAATTTTTTCTACACTGACAGTGTATACACTATCAGCGTTGGATGAATGACAATTATGTAAAATTTGAATTTGAAATTCAATTTTTGCACATATGTCATGAATCAAACGGTAACAATGTATACACTGACAGTGTATATAAGATTTACTCAATTCAAATTTTGCAAAACCTTTTCTTGAAGGTTAAACCTTTTTTTTTTTTAAGGATTTCATTGGATATAAACGAGGTTTATAAACTAAAGGGAGGTCAATATTTTTTTTAATTGTTGCCCATGGCTCAAGGGAAACAACAGTAGTAAGGACAAATCTTTCCCATAACCACAATACTTAGTCAAATTTAGAGATCTAATCAAGAAATCCTTTTATCTAACTTTTTCGATCAATCCAACCCTTCCCCATTTCCATTTTTTTTTTTAATTCTTTCCATTCCAATCTGATATAAACATGACAATTATCATTATAGGTAATCTGCTTGCTTGCATCTAAACAAGAAAGTTGGATTAGTTTAAACCAAGTTTGTTTAACTTATAGTACTACAAACAAACATGACAAAAGATTTTGCTAAGCTCCATGAAAATTTGTCCACTTCTGTTTAATTGGTTCTTGACTTCCCGTAGCATAATTTTGTTTTCCAAGAAAATGACACTGCAAATAATATTACTTCCTATAATCTTCTAGACAAGATTACGGTTTGATACCACGTAAGGATGATTTAACAAAATCTCACGGAAGCAACTGATGAATCTTGAAAGTTGAGATTATTCAACACAATCCAGAAACTATAAGAACCGTCTAACGAAGAAATATAAGAAATTAGCATTAATTGATGACGTGATATGATACCCCACAATTGATGATAACAAGAAATTTGGTCAGTTCTAACTTGTTCGCCATGTAAACTCCGAAGATTGATTTGCCTGAGGATCACAACCTCTTTCTTGAACTGTTGATGGGCTCCATTAGAAGGAATACATGAGGTTTGGTGATCTAAATGGATTAAGGGACTTTACACTGTAAGGACAATAGTATGAGATAATTTTTGATTCACACGAGGTTTCTTTGAAATTACAGTTAGTTCAATTAAGTTCGGTAGACATTCATTTTCATAAACATATAGAGAAATTAGTTCTTTTACATGTTATCTTAAGTACATAGATTTTTTTTTATTAGTATATGCATCTCTTATTCTAATCAGTGCATCGTGTAATTTAGTTGTTAATGACAAATACAGTGACATTTTATCGGTTGAAAATTAGATTCTACGTCATCTAAAAACATGGATAATATAATCAAGCAAATCTAGATTTTTCTTCCATTTTTTTTTAAAATTGACATGACGTAGATATTCTTTTACTAATAATCTTCCAAGTGTACACGGTCTTTTGGTGGTCTTCCGTCATTGAGTCCCTATCAACTCACCAACAAGTTGCTTCCCTTCCCTCAAATCTCTTTGTTGAGCCTGCACGTCTATATTATATAAACCCTTTAACTCACCTTGCATGTAACTTCACAGTTCAATGATACTACCTATGATTATTGTACATTTTGACCAACCACTTACTTTTGCAGATTAACTAGGATGTCAAAATCTCAACTTCTCCTCCTATTCCTCTACCTTCTTTCATCTGCCCACCTCTTCCATCCTTCTTCAGCTGATGTTGGCACTGCAAGCCAATACAACCCTCCATACACCCGTAAGTGCTAGCTAGTAATCCTAATCAATTCCACAATTTTTCTACTCCTAACAATTCATTGGGATTAACAACATTGACAATATTAGAAGATGGTAACATTTTTTTTGGGTTGTGAATTTTGTCTACAGCCACAGCTTGTTTTGGGAGTGATAACTCTCAATTCCCATCAAGCAATTTGTTTGCAGCAGCAGGGGAAGGGGTTTGGGACAACGGTGCGGCCTGCGGGAGGCAGTACTTGGTGAGGTGCATTAGTGCGGTAGCGCCCAAGACTTGTGTTCCCGACAAAACTATTCAGGTCAGGATTGTTGATAGAGCACAAACTTCAGCTTCTAGGCCTGCAAAAGGGGGCACCACCATCGTTCTTTCCAACACAGCTTTTGGTACTATTGCCAATCCGGGAGCTGCTTTCATCAACATAGAATTTCAACAGTGAGTATCCAGCTGCACAATAATGATTGAAATGTTTCATTTTCATTTGTGTTTTCTATTTTTTTTTATGTGCCGAATGCAAACTTCAGATAATGGTCGTTTGGTTTTCCATGGCCAAGTCAAGATTTTTATCCTTTTAGGAGTTCAAGAAATGAGAATATATACTATTGGAAAGTTGAATTTAGTGAGGGCATAATTGAAGATTCTATTCTTTGTATGGGAAATTTAGATAATTGCAAGACATTGGGGTTAGCTATCCATCCTATGCACGCTTGCACATGCATCTGCCATTCTTAGTTAATATGGCAAATGAAATAGGACAATACGAAGGATTAATGTATCTTACACTGTTCGTGAAAAAAAAAAATTTTTTTCAGCTAGCAGACGCAAATGCATAATTAACCTCTTTGTCACTATAAAATTTTTCCTAAATATGTGACATGCATTTACACCCGATCGTATAAAAAAAATGTTTACACTGCCATGCTAAAAAAATTTGGAATTGAACTTTATTGCAATATTGTATTTCAGTGGATTAGAAAATTATCTGTGCGTGTATATGTTAAAGAAGCCCATGAAAATGAGCAATATGAGAAATATTAGAGAAATTCTGTATTCACTGAAAATGATCTGTGCGTGTATATGTTAAAGAAGCCCATGAAAATGAGCAATATGAGAAATATTAGAGAAATTCTGTATTCACTGAAAATGGTAGATACGAAAAAAAGTATGGGTTAGATACTGACAGAAGTCTCTTTCTTCGCCTGCAGGGTATAAATAGGATTGGAGACTCATTCAACAGAATATAGCAGGAAACTGATATGTTTTCTTTCTCTTTTTTTCAAGTTTATTACTTTTCCTCCGCATAGTTGTAATTAAGGGGACTAGTTATATTATATGTATTTTGCAGACTCGTTATTGGCAAGGGGTATCTTCCATGGCCTTCATCCTCTGAGTTCTGAATCATACAAAGCATTAAAAGCAATGAAATTAGATAAACAGTTGTGTGATGCCATTAAATTCTAGAAAGAAAATGATTTTGGAAGTACTAATTCCAGGAAAGTTCAGAAGTGGACCACAGGAATGGTTAATTTGGTGGGAGATTCATTAAAACTTTGATTGTACTATTTCAAGTAAACTAGCTGACTTTGGAGTCATATGAAAGCTCTGTTTTCAAACTCGGACCGGACCGGCCGGTCGAACCGGTCGAACCGGGAACCGGCCAGGTAGCCGGTCCGAGTCAACTTAGAAAACCGGAAATTTTAAAACTCGGTCAAAGCCGGTCAAAATCCGGGTTTGACCGGGTTTGACCGGGAAAAACCCGGTTTTTCCGGTTCAACAGTAATTTTTTAAAAAAAAAATTCAAACTTTATAATATTATGTTTTGGCCCCCTAAATTGTTAAAACTTATTCGTATACCTCAAATATTTGATACTTTATAAATATTGTCCTACAATTTGATGTTATTTTTCAATTAAATTCATAATTTTAATTCTAAACTTGTTAATATTTATTAAATAATATAAATTGCTACTTGATTGTTCTAATTTCTTTGTATTTTCTTGTTAAATCTTTTTGAAACATCAAATATGTATGAATATACCTTTATTAATATCAATATATTATTAGATATGATATATATAATATTTTAATTTTTAAATAATTTTTATTTATGACGTCATCCGGTTCGACCCCTATCGACCCCCGGTCGAACCCATTGACCCCTGACCCCTGACCTTGGCCGAGTCGCTATCCGGTCCGGTTCTGAAAACATAGTATGAAAGAAGTCTAGATTTGTTGGGCTACACGTTTTGGCTTAGTTTACAATTGACCGCACGGCATAGAGGAAAAGGATTTGAAGCTTCAGAACATTTGACGGTTGGAGGTTGCCTCTTCAGCTCGTTCTTGATAGTATAAGAGTTGTGTAGATCGTTGACGTTAAATAAAAAAAAAAAAAGTTTTAAAACTAACTTTTTATTAATCAATTGGTAGTTAAGGTCAATGTCACACGAAAAAATACAAATGCCTACATGGTGTACAAGATTCCCTGCCAAGCATGAAACATATTTATGGGGATTGGGATGAATATTTCATTTGTTCTGTGAATTGGCATTGACCTCGTAGATATCAAACGGAGTCGCCCAAAGTTTTTTTTAGGAAATATCATCATTATTGCTTTATTCCACAATGTTTCGTGGAGAGTAGGGATGGATCAAGGAAGTCAAACGCGTTTATGGGGAGTGGGACATGACACATCATTTTATTGAGACTGTTCTCATCCAAATTCAATCAAATTTGAAGAATTCCCATTTGTGATGACTCTGCACATTAATATTCCTTTGTTGCTTTGTGGAGCATGATGTTTTGAAATTGGAATAATTTTGGAAACCTCCCTTGAGTTTTCTAACAGTTTCATTTTAGCACTTTTGAAGTTTTAAAATTATTACTTGCCTCCCTTTTTTCAAGTTTTTGTAACATTCTCAACCCAATTCAAATTATAAGATTAAATACTCATTTTAGGAAAGAGAAATAATTTCGTTCTAATAATGCCCTTTTGTTGCCTTACTTTTTTGTTTTTTTAAATTGTAAGTATGACAATCAACTATTAAAAATAAGGACAAAAAACATGAAGATGTACTTTTTTTAAGGGGACAAAATATGGTAAATGCAACCATGAGTAATGTGCTTTTTTAAAGTACAAACAAATAATAAAAGTTTATTTAATATGTTTTCAAATTAAAAAGGAATTTTTTTCCTTTGGGGATCCTCTATTTGGTACTCTAAGGTCATATAATCAGAAATAAATCCGATATCATTGTTATTATTTTTTTTTGGCAAATGCTCATATTTCTTCCATAAAAGTGTTGCAATTCAAGGGTTTAGCTATGATTTTAAAACTTCAATATTGGGCCCACCTTTATTTATACATATTTTTATTGTGTGCTTATAGATTACCGGATGAGAAAATTATTTTTTTTAATGTACAATGTTGTGAGTGAAATTAATAAATTTTATAAACTATTTAGAATCTTAAAATTTTTAATTATCCAGATCAATGGCTTAAAAATTTAGAAAAGGAAAAAATATTTAAAATTATATTTAAAACTTATTTGAGATGTTTAAAAGGTGAAAAAAGTTAATTTCTTTGTCTTTATAATGTTTCAAATAGTTTTTACATGCTTTGTTAATTATTTATAATTTTTTCAATTTTAGATTTTGTCTCCAAATTGTAGATAAGATTTGTTAAAGGATCTCTTAACCCAAACTTATAGTTTTTTTTATTAAAGAGTACATCCATCAAGCTTTTAAATGTTAAAGAATTTTAAATTGATTTATCATTACAAGTAAGGGACCACGACAAAAGAACAACTTTGGAATGAAATAATTTTCTCTTTGCCAAACATAGTATTTGAATCATATAATTAGAATTGGGTTGAGAATGTTACAAAAATTTAAAAATAAGAAAGGTATTGATATTTTTTAAATTTGAAGGTGCTAAGTGATATTATCATAAAGCTAAGGGGGGTTTCTGAAACTATCCCTTTGAAATTATAGCTATAAAAGTGGAACCTTATTTTTCAATTGATTATGAAATTTGTCGTGTTGGAACGTTAAAATGCACAAAATAATTGCGGCCTTGGTTGTAGAAGAAGCAAATGTCAGCTCAAATTGTTACTAATAAAAAACAGTACGATTGTGCGTGCATGCGTGCTTAGTTTCCATCTCGTTGTTCTATGCCTTTTTTCAATTGATTATGAAATTTGTCGTGTTGGAACATTAAAATGCACAAAATAATTGCGGCCTTTGTTGTAGAAGAAGCAAATGTCAGCTCAAATTATTAATAAAAAACAGTACGATTGTGCGTGCATGTGTGCTTAGTTTCCATCTCGTTGTTCTATGCCTTTTTTAAGGACGATTAGGTGGGAATGACACAAAAATCAATTGGTGGAATTTTTAGTTGGTCAAAATTGCAAACCATTCTTAAGAAAAAAAAAAAAAAAAAGGCTGCTTTCAAAGCAAACAAAAAGAATTAGATGTAGTACTTTTTACCTTACGGCAAGGTGAAAATCAAATCTCATATAGTTCGACTTAAATTTTCTTCAATGTAACCTGATAGAAAAAAATAATTACAAGATATAGAATATGCTTTGACTTGAATAGATTCACTTTCCTTAAACAAATTTCCCCCCACTATTTTACTGTCAGGTTTGTGGCAATTCCTTCCAAGAATAATAAAGTCAAACTTAAAATTTCCTTACAATAATATAAAGAAATTCTCCCAAGAACGATTTCATAATTTTGTTTTGATTAGAAGAAGAAGAATGAAAGAAAATGGTAAAACTTAAAAAGTGAATAAATGATGTCTTCACCTTTTATTTATAATAGTTTAGACACCCCTTATAAAGATGTTTCACTTTAGATTTATACATTTTCATAGTTACATACATCTTCATTAACAGACATCTCTTAATGAATAGGTAATTCTTTGTCAATAGAAACCTTTTAATTAATAGACACTTTTTGAATAATGGGCAGCCCTTTAATCAATAAATATCATTTGCTAATGGTGCATTTTAATATGAATTAATATTTTATACACTAATAGTACAGTGATTTTTTTGCATAATAGTTTTAGACGTATGTCACATGTGCATGGTTTGAATTTCAAATTTGAATTCATGTCATGTAGCATGATTTAAATATTCTTGTGTAAAAATTTTTTACACTGACAATATATAAAAAGCTATTCATTTAGTGTTCGTTTGGCTTATGGGATGATAAAGGATTGGATTAATCAATTTATGTCATTCCATATTTGGTTGCATTTTACATGTGGAATGACACATCCCAACTGACAGAATTAATCTCTATTCATAGGATAACATAATTATATGGGAGAGATAGTATTAGTCATCCTTGGATGATTATGAGATATGATGATAAAATTTTAGACTAATTTATCCTTATAAGTAATATAAATTTATACCCTCATAATTATACAACCTGACCCTCACACGATAATATAACATGAATGGACTAATTTGCCCCTACTAATTAATTTAACATTTTTTTTGTCTAATTTGCCCTCACTACCAACATTACAATATTTGGACTAGTTTACCTTTGCGAGTAATACAAATTCATATTGAATATTAGGATTATTATCACTTTACCCCCTTAAACTATATCACTACTATCAGTTTACCCCCTAACATTATCTTTTAATCACTTTACCCCCATAAGTAATTCAACTCAACATGTTAAGAAATTTTGGACAAAAATACCCTTTTATTTTATAGCATTATTACAGTGTTATTATCAATTTATTCATTTAGATTATAGTGATACAATCACTTTAGTTCCTAATATTATTTTCTAGGCATTTTACCTCATCGTTAATCTAACTAGTATGGTCAAAAAATTTTAAATATATTTACCCTTTTTATATATAATTAAAAATTAAAAAGTTGGAATGGTTATTCTTCTTTTTTTTCACGTTAAGAGATTGAAAAACATAAAAATAAAAGGGTTTTCTCAAATTTCTTTTTTTTTTCACACTTATTAATACTAGGGAAAGAAAAAGAGATAGAAAAGAAGAAGAAAGAAAATTAGCTTTTGCAAAGAAAGAAAATTAGTCCAACATTATCGTATTACATTAAGGTTGTCGGGATTAGGATTGGAATTTGGTAGTAAACAAAAAAGTGAAATAATTTTAAAAAAATAAAAGTATTTAATTCTTTCTTATTTGTAATTTTTAAAAAAGAATTGAGCTCTCTCCCTCTCCTCCTCCTCCTCTCCATCTTTCTATTCTTTTTTGATATTAATAAGATTGCCAAGAATAAAGAAATTAATACTTTGACTTTTTTTCTCAATATTAAAAAGGAGAAGAGCCAGTCTACAATTTTTTATTATTTTTATTATGCAAAAAGGAGAGTATTTTCTTCTAAAATT